GGGGGGGGGGTAGGTATCTGGCAACCCTATTTCCATAGCTGCATAGCTTGAAATGTACTGTGGCATTAAAATCATTTTCTGTTTTTTTTGTTTATTCCTCCTGCCTCCTCAGGAAAGTGCATATAACAAAGACCACCTTAGAGTGCCTAAATGGTGACTACGAGGTAGAACCAGGGTTTGGCTATGAAAGGAACAGTTTCTTGAAGAAGCATAACATTGAGACCTTTTTCATTGTGCCATCTCATCGGAGGAAGGTATGTTTTGTTTTGTCTTGTCTTGTCTGGGAGCACATCAGAGCTTGCCGACTGACCACTTAACACAGGGTTCCCCAGTGTGGCACCTTTGGAGGATGAGAGAGTGTGGGAGGAGTTTTTGAAGTGGATCTGTGTGAGTGTCAGTTTGTGAGTTATAGAAAAATCAGTTATGAAAGTCAGTTAGAGGAAGCAGTTGGAGTTTTGAGTTGGAGTCAGAGTCAGTCAGTGAGCTGACAGTGTCTGTGTGGAAAATAAAGAACTTAGAGTGCAGTATATATGTCTTCAGGAGCTGCAGTGGCTCAAGGGGTTAAGATGCTGAACTGCAGGCTGTGGAAGGTCGGGAGGTCAGCAGTTCGAGACCCGAGTGTGCCGCATGATGGAGTGAGCTCCCATCTCTAGTGCCAGCTCCTGCCAACCTAGCAGTTCGAAAGCAAGAAATTGCAAGTAGATAAATAGGTACCACTTCGGTGGGAAGGTAACAGCGTTCCGTGCGCCTTGGCATTTAGTCATGCCGGCCACATGACCATGGAAACGTCTTCGGACAGCGCTGGCTCTTTGGCTTGGAAACAGAGATGAGCACCGCAACCCTAGAGTCGGACTCGACTGGCTTTCAAGCAAGGGAGACCTTTACCTTTTTACTCTTGCGGGAGCGTTACTATGGCGAACACAGGACTGGAACACACATCTGCTGATGGAGTCTAGCCCTTGGGTATGTCCGGGATCGGGTGTTTCTTTCCTCTGCCCGGTGACTGCTTTGGGGAAACCTGCCCCTTTTGGTGAGCAAACTGGTAGCGCCAACCGTTGCATCCCCAAAGAATCAGCCAGACAGCAGTGATAAGGAGGCAGATGCAAGATGGCAAACACGGCACAGCTGTGGCTCCGGCCAGGATGATTCCGGGGGTCCTGCAAGAAGATGGGGTACTTGTGGCCAGTGTTCCCTCTAAGATGAGTTAGTGTGAGCTAGCTCACAGTTTTTTTAGCCTCCGGCTCACACGTTTTTGCCTTAGCTCAGGAAGGGATGGCGCCAGAGCGAACTAATTTGTGCAGTGGCCAAATCGCTCGCTCGCAACTTTCATGCCAGTAGCTTACAAAGTAGAATTTTTGCTCACAAGACTCCACGGCTTAGAGAGAGCATTGCTTGTGGCTTGCCATACATCAGTCGTTCTGGATGTGTGATAAAGCTGGCTTCAGCCTGTGGCAAGGAGCAGCAGTTTCATATGTGACCAGGAGGGGGGGAGGTATCCGTGTGTGTGTGTGTGTATCCTGCCTCCTCCCTTCTATACAAAACGGCCTTTTGATTAAAAGAATATTAAAAACAGTCTCCCCAAAGCCCGGCAAATATCTACAAAGAACAATGCACAATAAGAAGAAGAGGAGGAGGAGGAGGAGGAGGAGATTGGATTTATACCCCGCCCTTCACTACCCAAAGGTGTCTCAGAGCGGCTTACAAACTCCCTTCCCCTCCCCACAACAGACACCCTGTGAGGTGGGTGGGGCTGAGAGAGCTCTTTTGAGAACTGCCCTTGAGAGAACAGCTGTGCCAGAATTATGGCTTGCCCAAGGTCATCCAGCAGTGGGGAATCAAACCCGGTTCTCCCAGATTAGAGTCCGTGCACTTAACCACTACACCAAAGGAATAAATAGCCCTGAAAGCAAAGCAGTGTCCATCCGGCTAGAAAGCACTCCCAGAATAAATGCTACTTAAAAGATTCCCCTTCCTGTGACCTGGACGGCCCAGGCTAGCCGGATCTCATCAGGTCCCTGCTGCTAAGCGGGGTCAGCCTGGGTTAGCACTTGGGTGGGAGACCGCCAAAGAAGTCCAGGGTTGCTACACAGAGGCAGGTCATGGCAAAAACACCTCTGAGTGCCTCTTGCCTTGACAACCCTACGGGGTCGCTATAACTTGGCGGCGACTCAACAGCGCTTTCCACCGCAACAGATTCACCTTGGATTACTAGCAGGGGCATGAGAGGGAGGTGCGTCAGTTTCCTTCTCAGAGATCTTGTTGTAGATCCTCAGGGCAACTGCTGCCAGAGCTCTGTTTCGGGCCGTCCGTTCATTAACCCTCACCCCTCTCAGCGTCTCCACTGTCCCAGCCCCGGCTGTGTGGGGCTCCACCCTTCCCCGTGCCCACTTGCAACCAGCTCTCCAGGTGACGCAGGGCCATCTGGAATTTGGTCAGCGAGCCCGGGAAACCCTTCCCCTGACACGTTGGAACACCCGCTCTTCGAGCGGCAGGAACTGATGTGTTGTGCATTACGAGGCAGACTTTTACCTCCAGCCCGCTAACCTGACCTAGATAACTAAGCCTGCTCGCTGCTGCTGCTCACGTGGTCACTTCTCCCAGACTATGGCGGTTCAATCATTAATGAGACCGTTGCGCTTTATTGCTGGAGGCGACACATCATTCTCGGTGCTATTTTTTCTCCCTTGTTTACGTTCTCTGCTCTTAAAAATAGGCACCGTTATCAGAACAGGCGGGGAGAGACGAGAGAGATAATGGCTACATGCTGAAATTTACAAATACGAGTTTGTTGATATTTTTTTTTACCGTAAGAGAAATGTTTATGGGCACATCCCTGGCCGGAGCAGAGAATCCACGAGACTCTCTTACACTGAATCAGACCATTGGTGCACGCAGGTCAGTCCTGTCTACTCTGACTGGCAGCGGCTCACCGGGCTCTCAAGTGGAGGTCTTCCACTTCGTCTGTTACCTGATCCTTTTAACTGGAGAGGCCTGGGACAGAACCTGGGGCGCTCTGCATGCAAAAGAGATGGTCTGCTGCTGCACTACGGCCTCTTGTCTGCACAAAGCCGATTGAAATAAACAGGAACAGCGCAAAAGCCTAGGCAAGCATTACTCCCGTTAATTTCCATAAAGCTTTCAAAGAAGAAGGAGAAGAAGAGGAGGAGGAGGAGGAGATTGGATTTATACCCTGCCCTTCACTCAGAGTGGCTTACCATCTCCTTTCCCTTCCCTTCCCCACAACAGACACCCTGTGAGGTGGGTGGGGCTGAGAGAGCGCTTTCAAAAACTGCTCGTGAGAGAACAGCTCCGAGAGAACTTGTAACTGACCCAAGGTCACACCAGCAGCTGCATATGGAGGAGTGAGGAATCAAACCCGGGTCTCCCAGATTAGAGTCTGTGCTTCTAACCACTACACCAAACTGGTTCTCAATGAAGAAGAACTTCTTGATGCTGGTGCCTTAACAATGCTTGTAGGGGGGGGGGATGAATGGATGCTAGAGTCTGGTGCCATATTTGCAACATTCTTCATTGGGGGGGAGCCCTTAAAACATTAATATTCAAATGTTCCGATTCTCTAGCAGCTCACAAGGAAAAGACGGGAGACTAACTGTACCTGAATGAGGTTTTGTGGAGCAAGCATAGTTTTCCCACTTGATTCGGGTCATATTGTTTAGGAACACCTAACAGCTCAAAAACTGCTTTCTGGTTTTATGGAGTTATCTAAGTAGAGATGGGCAAGCGATTGTTAGTTTTCCAATTAGGGTTCCCCCCATTTTCCTTACTTTCCCAAGAAAGCCTGGGGTTTTCCACTGGATCAGAAGGAATTAGACGGTACCATTCTCATCCACGCAAGATGTAACAGACACCCCTGACTGTGCTCCTGAGTACGGAGGCCTCATCCACAAGGCCTACAACCCTCTGCTGTTGCCTGTCCATGCTTCCCATACGAGGAAGTTTGCTTAGGAGGGAACCTCCACATTCAGAGGCAGTAACTCTGAACACCAGTGCTTCAGAGGAAGGTCTTGGTCTCTGTGCTCTGGTTGTTGGCCACCCAGGGCAGGTGGTTGGCCACTGTGTGAAACGGAATGCTAGACAGATGGATCACTGGTCTGATCCAGCAGGACTATTCTTGTGTTCTTATCAGGGGAAGGCCTCAGCCTCTGTGCGCTTGTGTTGGCAATCCAGAGGAACTGGTTGGCCACTGTGTGAAACAGGATGCTGGACTAGATGGACCACTGGTCTGATCCAGCAGGGCTCTTCTTATGTTCTTATCAGGGGAAGGCCTTGGCCTCTCTGCCCTGTTGTTGGCCCTCCAGAAAAACTGGTTGGCCACTGTGTGAAACAGGATGCTGGACTAGATGGACCACTGCTCTGATCCAGCAGGGCTCTTCTTATTTTCTTATGAGGGGAAGGTCTCGGCCTCTCTGCCTTGTTGTTGGCCCCCCAGAGGAACTGGTTGGCCACTGCATGAGACAGGAGGCTGTACTAGATGGACCACTGGTCTGATCCAGCAGAGCTCTTCTCATTTTCTTATGAGGGGAAGGCCTCGGCCTCTCTGCCTTGTTGTTGGCCCTCCAGAGGAACTGGCTGGCCACTGTGTGAGACAGGATGCTGGACGAGATGGACCACTGGTCTGATCCAG